GCACGGTCGGCCCCCAGAACTGTTTGCCCGTCGCCACCATTGCCGTGTGCACGGTCGGCCTCCAGAACTGTTCGCCCGTCGCCACCGTTGCCGTGTGCACGGTTGGCCCCCTGAACTTTTCGTGGACTCTTGTTGAGCTCTGGTTTCGTATTGTTTCTTGATGTGCTTTCCTGCGTTTTTGGTCTCTAGTGCTCCTTGTTTTTTGTTTGGTCTCTGTTTTTTTTTTTTTGTTTGTTTGTCTGCTCTACCAAAGCATTTGTGGTCACACTGCTACTTTTTAATTATACTTTTATTTTCCCTCAACCTTTGATTGGGTTGGCATGACATCATCTGGGTGAGCCACAGCTGTTGCTGCCCTGGATTCATACAGTTTTAATTTCATTTTTAGTTTTTATTGTAAGTATTAGAATATTGGGTTGATTTTCTATGCAGATTTAAACATCTGGCATCAAAGTAGAGAAAGTGAAACTTTATATTTATTTATTTTATTTTTATTTACCGCATTTTCTATACTATAAGGAGCAGTTAAAGTCCTTTAATTTCTCAAAAATCATCATTTAATCCGGTGTGTCTTATATATGAATTCTGGTTGTGTTTACTGACCTTGAACCAATTTTATGTGGTACATGGCCCTCAAAAATCTGTCAAAAAATGTTTAAGTACGACTTTGGTAAGGTACAAAGCCGCACTGCTTGATGGATTGTTGTAGCGTTACGGCTACTGTAGTCAGGAGCGTCGCAGAGTAATCTGGGTCCTAAACTCCGTCTCTTCAGGTCCGAAAGTCAAACAAACACTGCGGCATCACTGAGAATTAAAACTGTCTAAATTTTTTCATCTTTAATAAAATGATCAGTGTTGCTGCTTTACCAGGTGTAACAAATAAGTTTAACATCCAGGCATCCAGTTTTATACTGTATAATGTCCATTAAGCTAACAGCAGGAGAGGTAGAGTATCACTTCCTGTTCCTGTTCCAACACACAGTAGCTTATCTGCAGAGCAGTTTAACTAAAAACTTTTAGATAAGTCTGTGAAGGTTCTCAGTCATCCAGGTCATCGTAGTCAAAGGAGTTTGCAAATAAAAGTGTCTGGACTTCTTTAAGTTGCTTGAAGACATTTCCCCTCTCATCCGAGAAGCTTCTTCAGTTCTAAGGGTCAATGGTGAAGAGTCCCAGATTTAGAGAGTCCCAGTCCCTCCTGCACTTTCCTGCTCATTGTGTCAGATGTTTAGTTACTCCTCAGCCTCCTTTAGCAGTAATGATACCTGTAACAAATGTAGCATATTTGCAGCTCTGGAAGCCAGGATTACAGAAATGGAGACTCGGCTTCGCACCCTTCATTCACCCGTAGCTAGCCAGGTCACTGTAGCTGGTGCAGCCGAAGATAGCGTAGGCCTCCCTAGCTGTTCCCAAGCAGCAGGGGAAAGAGGGCTCTGGTGATGGTGAGGAGGAAG